GGAAGGGATACAGAGATACACAGGCTGGGATTCGAGTCACACAAGCAGAGGCCAGAGCCGAGGGACCCAGAGCACACGGAAACTGTCTGGGAGTCAGAGATGGTGCCTGTGTCCTTTGCTTCCTATACAGAGGTCACTGTAGTGAGACAGAGTCATTGAACATCTGCCTCATGCCCAGCCTGAGCTAGGAGCTGAGTCAAAACCCCGAGGCACACGTGTTACTTGTCATCCTTCTGTCCACAGTCTAAGAAGGGCGATAACTTGCCTTAGTAGACAGCAGTGAACAGAAAAGGGCTCCCTGTGCCCACACTGCCCCAGGGAGGGGTGCATGGGTGCCGCCTCCTTGTTGTGCCCCCCTGGGAGGGAAGTGGTAATTCTCTATCAGTTCCTGACTTCTGGAGAAGGCTCTCAAAGGCCCCCCCACTGTGCAGCCTCCGGGCCTGCAAATGGAATAACCGAGATGTGTATGCCCAACTGCTGAAAAACAACAGATTCTCTCTTCTGACAAAGTCCTGCTTTCTCCTGAGAAGCTTGAGTTAGCTGTTTGTGTGTCACAGGGGTGTGTGTGTCTGTCTGTCTGTCTGTGTCTGTCTGTCTGTCCAGCTGCTGTCTCAGAGTTTTGGCCTCATCCTCCCAGCATCCCAGCCACTTCCTTTTCCAGACTCCTCACATCCTGATTAGTCAAATGACTCCCTGCCTGGCTGCCTTTCCACACCACCCATCATCTAGGCACCCACCCCACAGCTCCTGCTTGGGCTCCTGCCCCAGTTCTCAGCGACTCTTAAACTCTGAGCCTTGAAGGGGAGGGTTAGCCATATTATTAATGAACTGGAAAGACCTAGGCCAGAACAGATGTGGGAGTTGCAGGTCTGTCGCTTCTAATCTGAAACACTACTGCCAGAAATGCCTCTGAATCCCACATTTTCTAAGCTGGAGACTAATACGATTTACTGTATGTATGCAATCACACTCTTGGTGGGACCCAGGACAGCAATTACTGTAGTCAGTGGATGACACTCATTCTACTATGTGACTATACAAAGGCAAAAAACAAAAAACTCATGTAGGTGGTGGCCAGTCAGGGCTTGCCACTGAATGAGCATGGCCACCTCTCCATTTGGGGTTCAAGGGATTGAGATGAGGGGCCTTATGTCAGTGTCTGTGACAGCTGGAGACTCAGCACAGAAGGGTGGCTAGGGTGAAATGAGGCAGGAGGGACCTCAGAGCTGCGGACTGAGGAGCTGGGACAAACAAGAGGACTGGAGACAGAGGAATCCCACAGAGGAGGCTATGGGGAATCAGGGAGGGAGCCGGGAGAGAAACTGGAAAGGTCTGGGCAGAGCCCTGGCGCAGGGGCATACTGCAGAGCAGCCGATAGAAGACTCAGATGTGCTTGGTAGCGGTGGAACTGGTGCTGAGACTGGAGAAGTGTCAAAGGAAAGCAGATGACAAGGACAGGACGCCGCAGCCCATGACAAGCTTCCCTGGCTGGCATCTCTGCCAAGAAAGGGAACCAGGGTTCTCAGAGCGCCGCCAAGAAGCTGAAGGAAGGACAATTCCAAACGGAAGTGTTGTAAGAGGTGCCTGAGAGACGGCTCAGTGGTTGAGAGCATGTGCTGCTCTTCCTGAGGACCCAAGGACAGGAGTTCAGTCCTCAGCACCCCGAGTGGGCAGCTCACCTGCCTGAAACTCCAGCTTCAGGGGATCTGACGCCCTTTTCCGGCTTTTTCAGGCACCTGAATTCACGTGCACATTGCCCAACACACACATATACAGCCTCTCTTGTGGACACATATGTGTGAACACATACCATGTCCCACACTGTTACAATGGCACATGAGATAAAAATTTTGGAGAAACAGAGCCGGGCGGTGGTGGCGCACGCCTTTAATCCCAGCACTCGGGAGGCAGAGCCAGGCGGATCTCTGTGAGTCCGAGGCCAGCCTGGACTACCAAGTGAGTTCCTGGAAAGGCGCAAAGCTGCACAGAGAAACCCTGTCTCGAAAAACCAAAAAAAAAAAAAAAAAATTTTGGAGAAACAGAAGAGGCATCACTGGCCTCTATACACAGGCCCTATGTGGGGGCCACCTGGCCGTCGGCTCCCTTGTCCCACTGGATGGTTCCTCTAGAAGGTTTTTTTGGTGCCCATGCCAAGCAACTTCTGAGAAGTCACCTCCCCCTCCTCCACCTCCTAGCCAGCCACTCCAAGGCATGAATGTATGTGACACAGGAAATACCAGGAAGGTAGAGTGAACAATGAACAATGGTTGTCTGGCACAGCAGGACTAGGAATTAATGAATTATTCTCAGTCTCCTATGGTTCTGATGTTTACTTCAGGGGCCTTCACGTTTTCTTCAATAAAGCAGGTTAAATGAATTTTTAAAGAGGATCCGTTAGAGAGGCATGAGGGTGGCCGCCCCACTGGGGCGACTGTTGACAAGTTTCTCAAATTCACACAAAGCTAAAGACAGGCTGCAGCAGGACAGTGGCGCCTGCCTGCCCGGCACAGCCTCAGAGGACCTGCTAGGTCTCCTCGGGGTTCTGGCAGTCCACACTAAGCTCTGAGCAGAGATTCTAGGTCGGCAGGAGAGTGACCTAATTAAACACACAAGCTTATTCTTAGACCAGGAGGCCCAGTTAAGGCCCCTGGGTAGCCCAGCCCAGAGGTACAGGCCTGGAGGTGACTGCACAGGACTCTTAAATGGTTCTTGCTTGTTTCTAATGGTTGAAGTACCACACACTCATCACGGGACCTTTGCAAAATAGTTAAGTACAGAAAAAGAACTGTTAACCCAAGAAACCTGCCAGTTGGGCTTTTTTTTTTTTTTTCCTGGTTTTGTTGTTGCTTGCTTTCAAGTTTTGTTTGGTTTTGAGATAGAATCTAACTATATAGCCCTAGTTGGCCTAAAACTCTCTGTGTAGACAAGGCTGGCCTCAAACCCATGGAGAACTGCCTATCTCTGCCTCCCAAGTGCTGGGATTATGAGCGTGCACCGCCATGCTTGGCAAAATCCCCTGGTCTTTTTAAATACACATTTATGTATCGGAGGAGAAATACTTGTTCACATAATGTAAGTTTAAGAAACAAGAAAATTCTGAGCTTGCATGATTGACCCCTAATCTGCTATGTAAATGTAGCCTGGCATATGTCTGTAGTTCCTTGTCATGTTTATCTCATTCATAATTATGGAAACATCTTCCCCATGTCATTACACATTCAGCTATTGTGTGTGTGTGTGTGTGTATGTGTGTGTGTGTGTATGTGCAAGTCCATGTGTGTGAGAATTCTTGTGTGCAAGTGAAGATATGTGCTTATGATAGCACATGTCTCCTATCTGTCTCCTATCTCCCCATAGGAGCACTGGCATTACAGACGTGTGCGGCCATGCTTGGCTTCCTTATAGGGATTCTGGGGGTGTGAACTCAGGGCCTCACATTTGCATGACAACTGCTTTGCACAGCAAGCCATCTCCCCAGCCCCAGTCACTTGATTTATAAAGACTTCAAACATCTATCATATAGAGTAATGAATAAAATATGTCCCTGTGGTGGGGCATCCAGATTTTCACCAACAGCTCAGTAATGAATTTCCTCATCTTTAAGCTGGATTTTAGAAGTAAAAAATTATTTAGGACTATTGCAAAATGACTTCCTGAGAATTCACAGCACCTGACGTCACCACTGGTAAAGTTGGGGCTGTCACAGGGCTTGTGTCATATCCTGATTCTTGTAAACCAGCTAGTGCTAGGTCCAGATCAAACTGGATCAAACATAGAGGCCACTGTGAGCAGGTGACTTCATCCTGGATCCATTCAGGACTTTGTGACCAAGCCTAACCCCGCACCCTTCCAGCATTAGTCAGCTCTCACGAGGTTAGGCTGCTGTGACAACCCCAGAATTTTGGGGGATTACTGCAAATAAGATTTCATATCCAATTACTTAAGATGTGAATCAACTATGACTTTTGTTTTCTTCTTATCCTGAGGCTCATGCTGATGGAACAGCCCAGCCCCTAGCTCCAGACTCAAGGTCATGGGTTAATGGCATAAAGTAGAAAACCACATTGGCACTTAAGGTTTGATTGGGATGTGGCATGCATCACACCACTCTCTTCCCATTGTCCCAAAGAGGTCATGTGGCCAACCAAGCCCAGTGCCTGTGAGAGGAAAGAATTCGCTTTTCTCTTAGGAAGGTGCTGCAGCTCACACATTGGGGTGGGGAGATTCAGAATGCCCTCACAGAGGGGTCAAAGACAGCTGGAAAGAACACAGTCCTCCACAGTAAAGGGCAATCAGACCGCCCTCACACCCTGGCACTAAATCTGACATCAGGAACGTTGACCACGGCAGTCTCTCTTCACTCTAGAAAACGCCTCCCCCTGGATACCTTCTCCAGGGAGGGGGTTACTTAGGTGTCCTTTTGTGCAGATGAAGGAAAATACAAGAGCCAGAGATGGCATGCATACCGGTAATCCCAACATTTGAGAGGCTGAGACAAGAGGTGATGGGGGCAGAGACAGACAGGAAACGCACGTGTGTGTGTGTGTGTGTGTGTGTGTGTGTGTGTGTGTGTGTGTGTGTGTGTTTATGAACATACACCTATTATTTATTTATTATTAAAAGTGGTGAGACACTGCAAAATTACTTCAAAGAGTGAGACCATATGTATAACAGGCTCTCTCCTTTCCTCATTTTTCTCTTATTTGCTTTTTTCAGTACTGGGGAATGCACTTGGGACCTTGCACAGGCTGGGCGCTACAGAGCTTTATGGCCATTTCTTTTTATCTTTTCTTTCTTTTTTGCGGGGAGGGAGATAAAATATTTCCCAAGAGACCAAAACAAAAACTCTGGTGACAATGGTTATTTTGGGTGAACAGAACTAAGTGACTGAAGGTGGGGTGGAGGAGGGGCTTACTTTTCACCCCGCCCCGCCCCCCCCCCCCCCCATTTTCCAGCTTGTGTTGATATTGCGTTCTCCTCCCGGTTTTCTTTTAATTTACGTTTTTTAAGTTGTCCTTTCTCTCTCAGTCATGATTTCCCGTGGCCTTCCTGTCTGTTCTTCTTCTTCCTTCCGTGATCCCACGTTGGAACACGCCCTGATGCCTAGACCTGGAGCTCGAGAAGACACAAGAACAAACATCAAACAGTTACAAAGCAAAAACCAAAGAGTTCCCACTCCAGTAGAGGAGGCCGCTGGAGGGGACAGCCAATGATCGCTCCCCACCTCCAGATAAGCTCTGAGTGGGTGAGATGGGAAAACTAGACCAAACTCATGCACGCCCGAGTCAGAAGGCCCGCCCTGACGAGGAGGAGCAGTGACAGAGAAAACCAGAGAGAAAGAGACCACACGGCCAAGGCGGGTGGGGCTGGCTCAAGTCCAAGGCCAGTGGTGCCCCCAAGCTAGGGGCAGTCTACCGACAGATGCCTGTTGCACCGTTCCATGCGGAGACCCCTCTTCTGTCACCCACACATCCCACTCCTGTTCCCAGTCTTCAGTGGAACCTCTTCGCCCCTCATGACTGTGTGGGCAGTTCCCTTTGCAAAAATCGAAAGGCCTGATATTTGCCATCTGGATGCAAAGAACAGAGGCAGTGCCGATGGGAACAGGCCCGGAAGTCAGAGATAGCACCAGGACACAGTCCCCAGAGAGAGAGTGGGATCTCTGGGGAACGCTAAAGATTGCTTGAAGGCGTTAGATTTGAAATTCAGAAGAACTTGTGTCTAAATTAGCCACAGCTCGGTTTGGATACAGGACCTCTAAGGATCCGTGTGTTTAGTCACCAACATGTACTCCAATCAGGAAATGGTGGAACTAGAAAAGAGATATGGCCTAGTGGGAGATACTCTAGTCAATGGGGCCACGTCCTTTAAGGGGTTACTGGTACCCCAGCCTTTTTCTCTTCCTCTCTTTGGAGGCCTGGCTAAGAGACGATCAGGTTTGCTCCACCAGGAGCTTCCTGTCATGATGTCTCACTTTGCAACAAACCCCCAAACAATGGATCCAACCAGCCACGGGCTGAAACTGCCGGACTGTGAGCCGAAATAGGCTCTCTGTAAATGTCATCTCAGGAGTTCTGTGACAGTGGCAGGACACTGACTAACACCGTGAGCCTGGAGCCCAGGGGTCAGGAGGGCACGAGCACAGCCCTCTGACAGAACGGCCTTGCAAAGACGTTGGAGGGGTGGACTGCAACCCTGGCCATCCTTAGAAGATGCTCACATCCTTGGAACTCTCCCGCCCACTCTGGCAAGACCCCATAGCCCCGAAGGAAAGGTGCATCTATACAAGACATTGTCACCGAAGCACCACTGGAACACTTGGCTTGACTTCCTGTTTAAATCTGGTTGCAAGAGACATGTCCAGATGGATGAGCAAAATTGCCAGGCTCCTTGAGTGTCTCCTGAGACCCAGAGGTTAAGATGACATTCTCGGGGTTCTGTGGAACAAGGAAAACACAAGTAAGTAGTATGATGACATACATTGTAAGCAAAGTCGGGAGTGTTGGTGCATACCTGCAACCCCAGAAGGCTGAGGCAGAAAGATCCATGAGTTCAAGGCCAGCCTGGGCTAAATATCATCTCTCAAATATACGTGTGCGTGTGTGTGTGTGTGCCAAGTATAGTGGCTTATAATTTTTTTAAAAAATTGTATTGGTGCATACCTGTAATCCCAGCTATTGGGCATTGAGGCAGGAGGATTGTCACGAGTTTGAGGTCATCTTGAGCACATAGTGAGTCCCAAGCCAGCCTAGACTACGGTATTAAATCTTATCTATGTGTGGATGAGTAAATAAATAAATAAATAAAGGAACACACTAGAAATAAAGACAAAAGGCACGTTACAGCCTGCAAGGAAGAAAACTTTGCATCTCATGTCACAGGTGAAGGAAGAAGCTTCCTACGATATGTAGAGTTTCTAAAAAGATCAATAAACGAACACAAGGGAGCAAGTGGCTCTTGATTGCATAAAAACGCCATCAAACTCATCAGAGAATTGCAAATTAAAGCTACAGACAGCAATTTTCACCTATGAGATTGGTAAAACTCCAACTAGTGGCGAGCACGCTGATGCCACCTGAGGAGACAGGCTTTTCGCACCATCCCTGTAGGAGTGTAAATTGGCACGGCCCCTTCGGGAAGGCGACTTGGCAGCATCTATTAAAATTGAGAGAAATCCTCTACACACATGAGACTGGCTGACATACATCCAGAACAGGCAAGTGGACACAGACACTCACGGTGGCATGGTCTACAACAGCAAGGGTAAGTCATATATACGGCCATGAAGGGCGAGCCTGATGCAGGAAGACCCCTCCGTAATGGGGTGCCTTATCCACATGCCTGTACACAGCTATTAGAAAAGAATGAGGACAATGAATAAGGAGGCTCCTGGGCAGGGAGAGGAGGAACTGAAAGACATGGCTGTGAGGCTTATGAGCAATGAGAGATTCCAGAGATCATCTACACAGCCCGTCACCTAGGGTTCACATCATAGTATGCTCCAAAATGCAAGAGGCAAGGCCTGGTAGCACTCACTTGTAATCTCAGCGTTAGGAGGCAAGAGGATTGCCAGGAATTAAAGATCAGCCTGGTATATATAGTAAGTTCCAGTCGGGCTAGCCTGGGCTAAAAACTCTTGCCATCAGGAAAGGAGGAAGAGGGGAACATCTTAGGGGTGACAGCTAAGTTTATGGCGTCCCAAATGTTTATCTTCAACTCATCAAGATCTACACAGGAAATACATACAACTCTTGTGAAAGTCAATCAGACTTCACTTGTAATAAGAGTGAAGTAGTCCTTCATCTATGAATAAGAAAATGTTTCCAAGATATGCCAATAACTGGGGGTGGGAGAAGCCTGGAGGACAAATAGGTGTCTCGGGCTCTGGGAAAAGAATGGGATGAGAGTCCATGTTTGGATTACCTCTCTTTCTGTAAAGAAATGCTGGAAGACCATGTTAGAAACTAAAACCTGGACTTCAGAAGACGGAGAAGGTCGTGGGAATGAAAGCAAAGAAATAAGAGGTAAAGTTGTTTTCATAATACCCTGGTTCATATTTTGAAGTTGTGAGCCATGTGCTATATTACCTGCTCATAAAAGTAAATGAAAAACTGTGGGTAATTACCATATAAGAAGAGGTAATTATAACCAAAACCAAAATTATACCCTGAGTACCACAATCACACCCTAGGATAAAAGATGTGTTTTAGATTTTATGTTGACATTTGGGTGTGTACTATTCTTTTTCTAAATCTCTCTCTCTCTCTCTCTCTCTCTCTCTCTCTCTCTCTCTCTCTCTTTCTCTTTCTCTCTCTCTCCTTCTCTGCCTATGCTGAAATCTATATTAAAACATTTTCTCAATAAACTCCAACTTGCTTCAAGAAAACAAGGGAAAAATTTGTGTTAGCAAGATATAAAATCATGCATAAGATTTTAAAAACATTTCAAAATAATTTGTCATAGAATGCTAAATAAATCTGAATTGTCAAACTAAAGAATTGATGTGCATCTTGTTTTTTATTGAGTTTTGTTTGTTTTGAGACAGAGTTTCACACTGTAGCCCAGGCTAGCCTTTAATGTGTGACAATCCTCCTACTAAGGTCTCCTGAGTCCTGGGATCACAAGCAAGAACCACCATTCCAGTGGACATTTTATTCTTATTTTTGTTCTGTTATAATAGAAAAGGTACATTTTTTTTGTGTCTACAGGAAAGAAAGAAGGGAGGGAGGGGGGCAGGGAGGACAGATGGACAGATGGAAGGACTACTAGAAACCCCACAGGCATCCAGAGTTCAGGATATCATATTGTTTGAAAAGCTGCTATGTATAAAACTCAGGCAGCTTTCTGAGCAGCTACAGGATCAATCTAGAAGCGTCTCAGACTCCGAATCCAGCAAAAATTCTGCTTGAGACTGACCAGGAACTGAGTAGGTTTCCAAGGCCAGCTGCACAAGATTTCTTTTGGTTTGTTTGTTTTAGTTTTTTTGGTTGGTTGGATGGTTGGTTGGTTGGTTGGTTGGTTGATTGGTTGGTTAGATGGTTGGTTGGATGGATGGTTGAATAGTTGGCTGGTTGGTTGGATGGTTGGTTGCTTGATTAGATGGTTGATTAGTTTAAACAGGGTCTCACTATGGGGCCCTGACTATCCTAGAACTCACTTTATGGACAAGGCTGGCCTTGAACTCACAGAGATCTGCCTGCCTCTACCTCCCAAGTGCTAGGACTAAAAGTGTGCACCACCTCGCCCAGCAGGACAGGATTTCTTTCTTTCTTTCTTTCTTTCTTTCTTTCTTTCTTTCTTTCTTTCTTTCTTTCTTTCTTTTTTAAATTTTATTTAATATGTATACAGTGTTCTGCCTGCATGCCAGAAGAGGGCACCAGATTGCATTATAGATGATTGTAAGCCACCATGTGGTTGCTGGGAATTGAACTCACCACCTCTGGAAGAACAGCCATCACTCTTAACCTTTGGGCCATCTCTCCAGCCCCAGGACAGGATTTCTTAAGTTAGACATCTTTTGTGCCTTTTTCAGATACATTACTCCTGTGGAGGATAAGCAGGTATCTCCTGAGGCTAGCCCTTTCACCTAGTTGCCCATTACCTATTTTCCCACCAGGTTGCTGGTTTAGAAGACGCTGGTGATTACTCTTTCTCCTCTAAGCAATAACGACAAACTAAGGAGAACTCCTCAAGCACTTGGTCAGGTTGGATGCCTCATTTCCATGGAAACACAAGGGAGGGACTTGAGGACCTGGGTGTGAGTATAGAGACTGCCTGAGGAGTCAGGGGAGCAGCAGGGATTGTGGCCACTCCACTTCTATCCTGCCCACCCCAGTTTCTCTTCCAGGTCACAGGCTCTCCTTCATCCAGTTCATATGCTAAAATGCTTATCCTCTGTGTTCCATCTGAGAGTCTCCAGACAACGCAGGAGAGACTTTCACAGGTAGAGTAGAAGTGTGCTGGGTGCCCTGGTGTGGTTTAGGTTCACACCTCTTTCTGCCTCGTCCTTGCTGGTCTCCCTGACATCAACAGCCCCTTCATTCACGCCCCTCCGGTCCCAGCGACCATGCTGGCCACCTTTCTTTCTCCTTTTGCTTCCCCAAACCCCGTCTATTTCTGTTCCAGGCTTACTTTGGGCAGCGCTCTCTCAGCTTCCACTGGGGAGCTACCTGAACCATATTCCAGAAAGAACAGGTGCTTTTCTCTGAGCAGGCAGACTGCCAGGGCAGGGTCAGAGCCAAGCTGATGCAGAATACGCAGGCAGGAAGCCCTTCCAGGTCCCACCAAGTCTGTCTGCTCTCCTCTCTGTGAGTGCCCCATATGGCTTCAGGTGCAAAAAAGACTTAGGCTGAGAAGTTGATTCACTCTGTGTGTGTGTGTGTGTGTGTGTGTGTGTGTGTGTGTATCCCCACACATGCTGGGGTGGGGAGCTCATTTGTGTGTGCTCATGTGGAGGTCAGAGGTTATCAAATGTCTCTGTTTTTCATCCTCCTCCTTATTTTTAAGACTGGATCTCTCAATCAACTTGGAGATTGTCATTTCAGCTGGACAGTATGGCCAGCAAGCCCCTGTGTTCTGCCAGTCTGTCTCAACCCCATTGATTGGGGTTACACACACACACTGCCATGCTCAGATTTTACGTGGGTGCTGGGAATTAGAACTCTGACCCTAGCACATGCTCAGCAAACTGTTTAGCTGCTGAGCATCTCTCCAGCCCTCTTTACTGGGTCTTTTTATTATTATTATTATTATTATTATTATTATTATTATTATTATTATTATTTCACTTTATTTTATGCATATGGGTGTTTTCCCTTTATGTATGTCTATGCACCACATGCATGCAATGTCCACAGAAGCCAGAGAGGGCGCCGGATCCCCTGGAACCTTATAAATGGTTGTGAGCCAGCATGTGGGTGTTGGCAACCAAACCGGGTCCTCTGCAAGAGCAACCAATGATCTTAACGCTGAGCCTTCTCTCCAGCCCTCTTTACTGGACCTTAGGACCAAACACACAAATGACAGTATTTTGTGTTTTAATAGGTTCACAGTAGGAATGTTTTCATTTTCTCAAAGGATCTAAAGATCCTGTAGAACACAGTCTGGCTAAAGGGGAAGAACATTCTGGAATGCTTAAATCCCAGAAGTTCAGTGTTCATCAGTGAAGCCCTCAGACCCAGGTTCAGGCACTCATTTCTTTCTTTGCCTCCTGGGTCTTTTCTCCCACACTTGACCACTGCCCACCTAGCTGCCCAGAGTGACCAGGGATAGAAGTCACAGAACCACAGAAAAAACTGACACAGCCACCCTAGACATCGATGATTCCAGCGTTTCCTGTGGGTGAGGCCCGACAGTCTAGGGCTCTGGAGGAGGGAACAAAGAAAGCCAGGGTGGTGAGAGAGCCTGGCAGGTGACAGAGGCGGCCCACAGCAGGAGA